CATTTTCCAATACACCCATTGCCCACGTCTTATAAAACATTGTAATAATCGCACCTTCAAATATAGTAGGAAGCTAAAAATCAAATATAGTAGGAGGCTAAAAATCATTAAGTGATCTATAAGTAAATCCACAACTATCAATCATTAATCTAAGATGCAACAAAATTTGGTATTTTCTCAAGCATAACTTAGCAGTCAAAATCATTAACGCATAACTAAAAAATATATATCATTTGACCATATTACTACAAATATTCGATTAACGTAATTTTTTTTAATAGTAGTCAATGAGCCTTGCATAATAAATAATTTTAATTATTAAAATTGTCTGAAATGGACTCAGTCGAGCTCTCACAAGCTTGTTGAATTCGATGTGCTCAAGTTTAGACCAAGTAGTAGAATGGGTCTTCAATAATGCAGAATGCCCAAAATTGACTTATTTTCATATGATTAAACTAACCAACACATTCAAATAAGTACAAGAATCTGAGTGAGTTAGAGCATAAAATTGTCTTCAATCCACCAGTTCCAACTAAATATGAATAAAATATATGGGGATTCATCAACGAATGAGAATTTAACCACAACATATCTCATCAATAAATGCATACAAACAAACACAATGGTGAGATTATATCCAAATTTTTGATGACCATGTTCCATGGGGCTTGGCTAATTATGCAGTGGTTTGATTTGCTATTAATGTCTATCTCTCAATAAAATCACAATACTCTGTAACAGAGTTACAATGGTGTACATATATTGGTGACCATGTTCAATTGTGAAAGCAGATTGAAAAGATTCAAACACTCCATGTTCCAATTGTTTCTGATAAATTTGTCACTTGAGTAGAATCAAACACTTGGTGGGCAAAAAATTTAACAATCCACATATCAAACAAACAATCACCTAAACCAATGATCCAAATTCAGAGTTTATGATCTAAATTTTCTAAATAATAATAGACCATAGATAATGAACCAACAAATAACTAAAAACCCAGATGAATGAAGCAAATGGCATTACTAATCGTAAAAAATAAATGAAAACCTGGAAGAGTGGGCATGGTGCAAGAAGCGACGGGCTTGGGCGACTTCTCAACCTCGACAAGGTACGTACGGCAGTTTCCGGCAATGGAGAGGCGGGTGTGGTAACAGAATCTGGGAATTATCCAAAAAACTACAAATCAAACTCCTACGAAAAAAAAAAAGACAATCTGTAAAAATAATTTTCTTGTAGAATATTTACTCTTAGAATGATTTTTGGGGAATGTTGTTGGCCAACATTTGTTGTAACTAGGTTCATATATTTTTTCAATTTTTTATTACATATTTACTGTCGAGCACAAATATTATTGAAAACTGGTAACCATTACTCATTGGGTTGTTAATGTTAATATATGTAATAAAAAGTGCACATGAAATTAAAAGTGCATTCAAATTTATAACTTAGCATTATTTGGTTTGAGTCATGGTGAATACTGAACATAGTTAACATAACACAGCAACAAGAAAATTGAAAATCAGATAATATGAAATTATTCTATAATACCCAAGAATAACACACATGAAAAGATTAAGCACAGATCTGGGCTTAAAAACATTCATAATGCTATTTGTAAATATAATATATATATATAAAGTAATCAAATGTGATGCTGGATGATCTCACATTATGGATGAACCCAGTGTACAAAACTCCACTAAAGTAGGGTCTGGATATACAACCTTACCCCCATTATGGATCTCAAATCAAATATTGTTTGCTGGATGGACAAAATTTATAAAATTGTATGTCCTATTCAGTTTGGTTGGACACCCATTTGAGTGAAAGAAGTAGAGATCTTTTATAGCTAATCATTTCAAGAAGTGTGAGATCTCTCAAATTTCAATCTAAATTCAATTGGTATATCCCTTAAAATCTTTAAATTACAGAGTTATTAAAAGTGCTTTTGAGTTTCAATAAAAACTATATCCCAAAGAAATATTTTTAGTTATGAGGTTGTGGATGAGAAAAAGAGAACACAGGAAAAGGCCCAATCTAAATTAGTTTGAGATTTTAGGTACCACAACCTAGTATTTCCGTTAACCAAAAACACCATATAAGACCACTAAAAAGCAATAACATCATCTCCATATAAACAAAAACTCACTGGAAGCATTTTTTAAATCGGGCTCATTTCATTTTGAACTTATAAAATTCAAACCACATCTAAAAAAAGTAATAACAGTTACTAAAAAAACTACAGAATGTAGAATAGCAAGTCCTAAGTACTGACAAAAAAAGACTCTTACCCAGTCCAGCCCGTCTGGAAAAGTCAACCACAAAAGTTGGAATCTCCTCCATCAAATTGTCTGGATTTCCTGAATGCAAAACCCTAGTGAATCCTCCCATATCAGAACCTGGCATGGCTTTAACCTTCTTATACCAATAATACATGATCTGGCACTGCCACTTGCTGTAAGGTGCATCTGTGGCTGAGAATGAAAAAATTATAAGGAAATATTAACCCAAAGAAAAGGGACTGGTTTCTAAAATTGAACCAATAGGTAATTCTCCAGTAATTATCAAAAAGGTAGAGTAGCTTATATTCTAATGTTGCTTTAACTAGTAATTTGGTCTGATTCTAATAATTTTCTTCACATAAGAAGCACCTAAGGAATTTTAAATGCTCCTCACGTAAGAATGAAAGCAAAATCTGCTGATTCTTGTTGTGATTGAATCATAAAAAGTAATATAGTACTGATAATTGTCAAGGCTGACCTTTCTTCTTCTCCTTTTTTGCCCCTCCAATAATGCTCCATTTGTTTGGGAATGTTTTCTGCATTACGTAAAATCTCAAGCTGAACTTATTATGACTGATGCAAACATTCTGATTGTTGTAACTGATCAAGTATTTGTTAATCCTTTGCCAAACTTGGCATATGGAGACCAACCAGTTGCATTCCCATTTTCTACATAAACCAAGTAACACCAACAACAACAGAGATAACCACCAAGCCTCACAGCAGCTAATCAATCAAACCACAACCTCAAATCAGAGCATACCAGCATACCACAACCTCAAAACAGAGTAGGAAACAAATCGTATTCAACAATTTATCCAATTGGAAATCACAAAAAAATTGAGGGAAATCGTATACAAATCTTTATTCACAAAGAGTGTACATATATATATATATATAGAAAAGAAGATACCTGGTGCGAAATGGATGGAGAAGAGTGCTTTCGGTGGTGCCACATCAGTGAAGCAAAACGAACGAGAAGAGGGCTTTCGGTGGTGCGATTCGAACGAAGAGAGAGGGCTTCCGGTGGTGCGATTCGAACAGAGAGAGAGGGTTTCCAGCATTGCTCGGGTGCATGTGAGAGGGCGAGGAAGAGATCGGTGAGAGGGTTTCACGAGCTCAGACTAGAGAGAGAGCGAGAGACAGACTGGGTGAGATTAGGGTTTTTTTTTGGGAGGGGGAATGGAAAAAAATAAAGGGGAGGCGGGAATGGAAAAAAATAAAAGGGCGGGACTGAAAAATTAAAATAAAATAAAAATAATTAAAATAAATTTATTTTTTGTTAAAATATATATTTTTTGTGGTTAATGAATTTTTTTTTAATTTTTTTTTAGTTATTAAGATTGAAAATTTATTTGTTTCATTTTATTTTTGTGAAAAAAAATATTATTATTTTATTTTGTAGAAATAGGGGTAATATATATTTTAATGAAAAATATTTTCCACTAACATAAAAATTAATTTTCTGTAGTCAATGAAAAATAAAAAATAGACACAGAGAGAGAAAGAAAGAGAGAAGAGTGATAAGTGAGAGAGAGAGAGAAGAGTGAGAGAAACAAACAGACACAGAGAGAGAAAGAAAGAGAGAAGAGTATAAGTGAAGAGAGATAAAGAGAGAAAGAGTATATATAGAAGAGAGAGAGAGAGAGAGAAAGAGATAGAGAGAGACATATAGAAAAATAGAGAGAACAAGAGATGAGAGAGATATATAGAAAGAGAGCGAAAAGAGATGAACGAGAAGAGAGAATAGAAAATAGAGAGATAGAGAGAAGAAGATGAGTGAGAGAGAAGAGAGAGAGAAAAGAGAGATAACGAGAGAGACAAAGAGAGAAAGAGGATGAGCGAGATAGAGAGAAGAGAGAGAGCAAGAGAGACATAGAAAGAAGACAAATGAGAGAGATAGAGAGAAGAAAGATGAACGAAAGACACATAGACAGATAGACAAACAGACAGAGAAAGAAAAAGTGATGAGTAAAAGAGAGAAAGAGAAGAGTGGTGGTAGTTGAATGGCATTTGCAGTATGGTAAATGTGGTAGAGAAGATGGGTGGTGAGAGAGAGATATGAGTGAGAGACGAATAGAGAAAAGAGATAGAGAGACAGAGAAAGAGACAGAGTAATGAGCACAAAGAGACAAAGTGATAGCGAGCAAGTGTGCCGTCGCAAATAGTTTCGTCTCATATACCCACTTTTCTTGTAGTGAGGAATGAGAAGGAGTTGTGTGTGAAAGTGAGATGAGAAACGGAGAAGGGTTAGGCAAAATTTTGGGGAATCCCAATTTGAGAGGGAATTTCAAATTAAGATAAAATTTTGTGAAAATATTTGCTGCTAATTTTTTTAGAGATGTGAAAAATAGATCAGGCTTGTTAAATTAATATTTTTTAATTTTATTTATTGTTTATACTTTTACTTTATTGGAGTTTTATGACTTAGTTTGTGAAAAAAAAATTACAAAATTTAGAAATTTTAGAAAGTATAAATTTAAAAATAAGTCTTACAAATCAGATTTATTTACTCATAAGTCAATTGTGAATTTTTTTTACACACTTAGCCCTCGTTTTGATAATGAAATTTTTTAAAACTTTTTAAATATATGTTTTGTGTCTGTAAAATGATTATTTCATTAGTACTGGTAATAATATTGAAAAATTTATAAAATGATAAATAATTGGGAATTTTGTCTTTTATTTGTGAATTTTGATTTATTCTTAATTTATTAGTGTTATTGAAATATGATGATGTAAAAAGTATAAATAGTTTAATTGTACTTTTTAAAAATAATAAATTTATTATTAAAAATTAAATTCATCAGACTGACCTGTAACTATGCCTTTAAATTTTGCAATGTAAAACTATCGACAAACAGCCAATAACAAGTTGCCCATTTTAGCATACCTTTCGCGTGAGGGCCCAATTATTACAATTATTAAAAATAATAGTCTATTTTCAGAATTTAATTTCTTTTTATAATACAATTATTACATTTAAAAATATTAATTTTTAAATTACCTTTTGATAGTATATTTTTTAGAAATATCAATTGTCATAATTGTTCTGTTTGTATTATTATAAAAAAAAACGAAAATAAGATATTATTTTTTAATAATTGTATTTGGCCAAATTTGGGGCCCTACGTAAATGATATGCCTTACAAATAGGGGCCGTTGTTTTATTATTGGATATTATTTCATTTAAAATGGAACCATTTAATATTGGGCTAATTCATTGCTTAATCTATGTTTAAACAAAATTGCAACATATTTAAATAGGGTTTTTTGCAAATATGGGGCCCTAGCACATTCATGCTTAGCAGGGCGGCTGTTCAGTGAATATTAATGTTAAAAAGAAAATCTGAATAGACTATTATTTTTTAATTGTTAATGGCTCGCAAAACTAATAATTTATTGTCGTGTTTAAATGCAATTAAACATAGTAGATCAGTCGTTATTTTAATAATAATTACTTAAGTACGATTAAACTATTTTACTTTTTACATCATCATATTTCAAGTAACACTTATAAATAAAGAATGAAAAAAATCAAAATTCACAAATAAAAGACAAAATATCCCAATTAATTATCATTGTTTGATAAATTTTCAATATTATTACAAGACATAATAAATAATTCATTTAGAGACACAAAAACATATATTTAAAAAGTTTTAAAAAAATTTATATAATAAGAGGGCTAATGTGATAAAAAAAATTCACAATTGACTTATGAGTAAATAAATCTGATTTTAAGACTTATTTTTAATTTATATACTTTTTAATATTCTAAATTTTGTATTTTTTTTCACCAACTGAAGTCATAAACTCCAAATAAGTAAAAAAGTATAAACAATAAAATAAAATTAAAAAATATTTAATTTAACAAGCCTGATCTATTTTTCACCACCTAAAAAAATTAGCAGCAATATTTTCAACAAAATTTTTTATCTTAATTTGAAAATTCCCTTCAAATTGGGATGTCCCCAAAATATATGCCTAACCCTTTCTCCGTTTTCTCATCTCACTTTCACACACAACCTTCTACATTCTCACTTAAAGAAAAGTGGGTATTGAGACGAGAACATTATGCGACGGCACACTTGCTCCTATTCACTTTGTCTCTTTGTCGCTCATCAACTCTGTTCTTCTCTTCTCTCTCATCTCTTTTCTCTATTCGTCTCTACTCATATCTCTCTCTCACCACCCTCTTCTCTACCTAACATTTACCACTACTGCAAATGCCATTCAACTACCACCACTCTTTCTTTCGTCTCTTTTACCTCATCACTTCTTCTTTCTCTGTCTGTTTGTCTATCTGTCTATGTGTCTTTCGTTCATCTTTCTTCTCTCATCTCTCTCATTTGTTTCTTCTCTCTATGTCTCTCTCGCTCATCTCTCTTCTCTCTATCTCGCTCATCTCTTTTCTATCTCTGTCTCTCTCGTTCATCTCTCTTTTCTCTCTCTCTGTCTCTCTCACTCATCTCTCTTCTCTCTATCTCTCTATTTTTCTATTCTCTCTCTCGTTCATCTCTTTTCGCTCTCTTTCTATATATCTCTCTCATCTCTTGTTTCTCTCTATTTTTCTATATGTCTCTCTCTATCTCTTTCTCTCTCTGTCTCTCTCTCTTTATATATATCTCTTTCTCTCTTTATCTCTCTCTCACTTATCACTCTTCTCTCTTTCTTTCTCTCTCTGTGTCTGTTTGTTTCTCTCACTCTTCTCTCTCTCTCTCACTTATCACTCGTCTCTCTTTCTTTCTCTCTCTGTGTCTATTTTTTATTTTTCATTGACTACAGAAAATTAATTTTTATGTTAGTGGAAAATATTTTTCATTAAAATATATATTACCCCTATTTCTACAAAATAAAAAATAATAATATTTTTTTTCACTAAAATAAAAATGAAACAAATAAATTTTCAATCTTAATAACTAAAAAAAAAATTAAAAAAAAAATTCATTAACCACAAAAAATATATATTTTAACAAAAAATAAATTTATTTAATTATTTTTTTATTTTTATTTTTATTTTTCAGTCCCGCCCTTTTATTTTTTTTCATTCCCGCTCCCCCCTTTATTTTTTTCCCATTCCCCCCCCTCCCAAAAAAAAAAACCCTAATCTCACCCAGTCTGTCTCTCGCTCTCTCTCTAGTCTGAGCTCGTGAAACCCTCTCACCGATCTCTTCCTCGCCCTCTCACATGCACCCGAGCAATGCTGGAAACCCTCTCTCTCTGTTCGAATCGCACCACCGGAAGCCCTCTCTCTTCGTTCGAATCGCACCACCGAAAGCCCTCTTCTCCGTTCGTTTTGCTTCACTGATGTGGCACCACCGAAAGCACTCTTCTCCATCCATTTCGCACCAGGTATCTTCTTTTCTATATATATATATATATATGTACACTCTTTGTGAATAAAGATTTGTATACGATTTCCCTCAATTTTTTTGTGATTTCCAATTGGATAAATTGTTGAATACGATTTGTTCCTACTCTGTTTTGAGGTTGTGGTATGCTGGTATGCTCTGATTTGAGGTTGTGGTTTGATTGATTAGCTGCTGTGAGGCTTGGTGGTTATCTCTGTTGTTGTTGGTGTTACTTGGTTTTATGTAGAAAATGGGAATGCAACTGGTTGGTCTCCATATGCCAAGTTTGGCAAAGGATTTACAAATACTTGATCAGTTACAACAATCAGAATGTATCTGCATCAGTCATAAATAAGTTCAGCTTGAGATTTTACGTAATGCAGAAAACATTCCCAAACAAATGGAGCATTATTGGAGGGGCAAAAAAGGAGAAGAAGAAAGGTCAGCCTTGACAATTATCAGTACTATATTACTTTTTAATGATTCAATCACAACAAGAATCAGCAGATTTTGCTTTCATTCTTACGTGAGGAGCATTTAAAATTCCTTAGGTGCTTCTTATGTGAAGAAAATTATTAGAATCAGACCAAATTACTAGTTAAAGCAACATTAGAATATAAGCTACTCTACCTTTTTAATGATTCAATCACAACAACCTTCTTATTAGAATCAGACCAAATTACTAGTTAAAGCAACATTAGAATATAAGCTACTCTACCTTTTTAATGATTCAATCACAACAACCTTCTTATTAGAATCAGACCAAATTACTAGTTAAAGCAACATTAGAATATAAGCTACTCTACCTTTTTGATAATTACTGGAGAATTACCTATTGGTTCAATTTTAGAAACCAGTCCCTTTTCTTTGGGTTAATATTTCCTTATAATTTTTTCATTCTCAGCCACAGATGCACCTTACAGCAAGTGGCAGTGCCAGATCATGTATTATTGGTATAAGAAGGTTAAAGCCATGCCAGGTTCTGATATGGGAGGATTCACTAGGGTTTTGCATTCAGGAAATCCAGACAATTTGATGGAGGAGATTCCAACTTTTGTGGTTGCCCCTTTTCCAGACGGGCTGGACTGGGTAAGAGTCTTTTTTTTGTCAGTACTTAGGACTTGCTATTATACATTCTGTAGTTTTTTTAGTAACTGTTATTAGTTTTTTTAGATGTGGTTTGAATTTTATAAGTTCAAAATGAAATGAGCCCGATTTTAAATGCTTCCACTGAGTTTTTGTTCATATGGAGATGATGTTATTGCTTTCTAGTGGTCTTATATGGTGTTTTTGGTTAACGGAAATACTAGGTTGTGGTACCTAGAATCTCAAACTAATTTAGATTGGGCCTTTTCCTGTGTTCTCTTTTTCTCATCTACAACCTCATAACTAAAAATATTTCTTTGGGATATAGTTTTTATTGAAACTCAAAAGCACTTTTAATAATTCTGTAATTTAAAGATTTTAAGGGATATACCAATTGAATTCTAGATTGAAATTCGAGAGATCTCACACTTCTTGAAATGATTAGCTATAAAAGATCTCTACTTCTTTCACTCAAATGGGTGTCCAACCAAACTGAATAGGACATACAATTTTATAAATTTTGTCCATCCAGCAAACAATATTTGATTTGCAGATCCATAATGGGGGGTAAGGTTGTATATCCAGACCCTACTTTAGTGGGAGTTTTGTACACTGGGTTCATCCATAATGTGAGATCATCCAGCATCACATTTGAATTACTTTATATATATATATATATATACAAATAGCATTATGAATGTTTTTAAGCCCAGATCTGTGCTTAATCTTTTCATGTGTGTGTTATTCTTGGGTATTATAGAATAATTTCATATTATCTGATTTTCAATTTTTCTTGTTGCTGGTGTTATGTTAACTATGTTCAGTATTTCACCATGACTCAAACCAAATAATGCTAAGTTATAAATTTGAATGCACTTTTAATTTCATGTGCACTTTTTATTACATATATTAACATTAACAACCCAATGAGTAATGGTTACCAGTTTTCAATAATATTTGTGCTCGACAGTAAATATGTAATAAAAAATTGAAAAAATATATGAACCTAGTTACAACAAATGTTGGCCAACAACAATTCCCCCAAAAATCATTCTAAGAGTAAATATTCTACAAGAAAATTATTTTTACAGATTGTCTTTTTCTACCACAGCCGCCTCTCCATTGCCGGAAACTGCCGTACGTACCTTGTCGAGGTTGAGAAGTCGCCCAAGCCCGTCGCTTCTTGCACCATGCCCACTCTTCCAGGTTTTCATTTATTTTTTTACGGATTAGTAATGCCATTTGCTTCATTCATCTGGGTTTTAGTATTTTTTTGGGTTCATTATCTATGGTCTATTATTATTTAGAAAATTTAGATCATAAACTCTGAATTTGGATCATTGGTTTAGGTGATTGTTTGTTTGATATGTGGATTGTTAAATTTTTTGCCCACCAAGTGTTTGATTCTATGCTCAAGTGACAAATTTATTAGAATTGGAACATGGAGTGTTTGAATCTGTTTCAATCTGCTTTCACAATTGAACATGGTCACCAATATATGTACACCATTGTAACTCTGTTACAGAGTATTGTGATTTTATTGAGAGATAGACATTAATAGCAAATCAAACCACTGCATAATTAGCCAAGCCCCATGGAACATGGTCATCAAAAATTTGGATATAATCTCACCATTGTGTTTGTTTGTATGCATTTATTGATGAGATATGTTGTGGTTAAATTCTCATTCGTTGATGAATCCCCATATATTTTATTCATATTTAGTTAGAACTAGGTGGATTGAAGACAATTTTATGCTCTAACTCACTCAGATTCTTGTACTTATTTGAATGTGTTGGTTACTTTAATCATATGAAAATAAGTCAATTTTGGGCATTCTGCATATTGAAGACCCATTTCTACTACTTGGTCTAAACTTGAGCACATCAAATTCAACAAGCTGCTGTGAGAGCTCGACTGAGTCCATTTCAGACAATTTTAATAATTTAAATTATTTATTATGCAAGGCTCATTGACTACTATTAAAAAAAATTACGTTAATCGAATAATTGTAGTAATACGACTGAGTCCATTTCAGACAATTTTAATAATTTAAATTATTTATTATGCAAGGCTCATTGACTACTATTAAAAAAAATTATGTTAATCGAATATTTGTAATAATATGGTCAAATGATATATATTTTTTAGTTATGCGTTAATGATTTTGACTGCTAAGTTATGCTTGAGAAAATACCAAATTTTGTTGCATCTTAGATTAATGATTGATAGTTGTGGATTTACTTATAGATCACTTAATGATTTTTAGCCTCCTACTATATTTGATTTTTAGCTTCCTACTATATTTGAAGGTGCGATTATTACAATGTTTTATAAGACGTGGGCAATGGGTGTATTGGAAAATGTTCTTGCATCTTTCCATTCCATTTCTTGATTTTCTGATTGCATTACTACATTTGCTTTATTTTGCAGTTGGTGTCTTCAGAAAGAAAGGTACCAAACTATATGAAGCAAGCTTGAAGGATGAGAAGCGTTTACATCAATTTAGTAAATAAATTTAATTTTCCCATCATGTTTACACTTTCAAAATATTCTGTAAATGACATTTGATGTAGAATTTTCCCATCATGTGTTTGTATGGAATTATTATTTTGGGTTGGATTATAGCGATCCCGGGTTTACCTGATGTTAAAAGATCAAATTTTTGTATTGTTGAAACGAAATAGAAATAGATATATGTATTATTTTGTTTAAATACAGGGTGCAGGTTGTACGAAATAAGTACAGGTTGTGAAGAAATTAATTATAATAAAAAAAAAAACTAAATAAAGTTTTTGGCAATTAAATGTTTAGTAGCGAAAAAAAAAAGAAAAAAGAAGTGGGTTGAAAAATAGAAAAATAGAAAAATTTTAAATTTTGAAAAATACAAGAAATTTTACATAATTTAAGGAGGGTCACTATTAAATTTTATAAAGGATAAATAATACATAATTTTTATTTATATGGGTAACAATATAACTATTGAAAGTTTAGGGGGAGCACGTGACCCCCCTAAGTCTTAGGTGGCTCCGTCCCTGGTGGTGTCTGCACATCCCATGGCACATGAGAAATAATGAGAAAGCAATATGATATATGAAATTAATATAGAGTATTATGAAACCAATTTTGGTTTTAAAAAACACCAATTTAGCAGGTTTCACATTAAGTTTCCAGTGCATTTTGGTGTTCAAGTAGATATGGAAAACTTTAAAAACATGTGTGAACGAAACAGAACCCAAAACATGTGTAAATGTGATGCTCGTACCTGATCACCTACATTGGGACCATCAGTGTTGAAGAGGATAGGCCGGCATCGCTTATCCTCATTCATCAAGCTTGAGTTCTGAAAATGGGCAATGAGAGCAGCTTTTCCTTGTATGCGAGCATAAGCAAGTGATGCCACCTTTTCGCTGTTAAACTTTTCCCATTTCTTCCCATCAAATGCCTGTGAAAAAAATAAGTTCTCTCTCTATTACCTTTAATCTTCATAAATTACAAGTTAATATTCAAGTACCAGCAGAGATTTGCAACAGTGACAAAAAAAGAAAAAAACATATCATCCTCTTTCAGCATTGATAAAGCAAACCTGATAGAATGGAACGATCAACGAAGGATTGGTCATGTTGATGAATGCATAACCCACATTGCATTTGTTCTGCAGCAAAAAGTAAAGGCAAATAATTATTCTATGAATGAATCCTCTGCTTATATAAAAGCTCTTCGCTGAGGTGAAAATTCACTTGCCTTAAAATCGATGGGTAGATAAATGAAATCATAAGTTCCCCTATGGTGTTCATCAATTGCAGCTAAAAGCATCTTTGAAGTATACCTACAATTGAAACCATGTTAAAACGGAACCAGTTTGTTCTTCTTAGTAGAGAGAAGGGAAAGAAGAAGAAGAAGAAGAAAAAAAAAAAAAAAAACCATTCCAATGCATCTGAAAGATTACTTCAAGCTGAAATAACATTACAAAAATATGAAATAAAAGGCATATAAGAAAACAGAAAATGAAAGTCAACACTTCCATTGCATTATTATTGAGGGCAATAGATGATTAACTTGGATTCATGGCATAATGTTTTCCAGGCCAAATAAGCCTGATTTCGATGGTCCAATGCCCGACTCTAATATTTCTAATCAAGAGTTTACGCAGAAAACACAAATCATCTACTTAATTGTAGCTACTTGATGGAGGATGTAAATACTCAACTCATAAACCAGGTCACATTTATCAATGGGTGTAGGCAGCTAAGAAGCTAGCCCTAGCAATGTTTAAGCATCTAATTTGTGCACATGTTATGGACTATGTTACATCATTACAGCAAGTTGCCAAGTTGTATACAACATGGGATACCCAGTAGAGTTCTCATTAATCACTGTAAATTTTCTTAGCAAATTGCAATGCATATACCTTATCTAACAAAAATTACTTTGAACATGAATATTTAAACAGTAAATTAGAACAAAACAAGAAAGATAAAAAAAGGCATTTGCTAAATCAAGCACATAACCGGCGAAAAGCCTGAATCATATAAAGGCGTTTGCTTAATCCAATTTTGGTTTTCTAAGAAGAGAAGACTGGAGGAAAAGGGCACCAGTCACATAGCAAGCAAAAGAGGCTTTTATAAACTAACTGAAAGTACCAAAAGGAGACTTTTGTGGACTAACTTGAGATTCTTTGACAAAAATTAATGCATCCAAAACAATAAACATGGGTTTTCAAGGAATACAGCTACATATGAGAGGTTAAAAGAGATCCGATACACATCACCAGCAGAAATAACCAGGAAGAAATAGATTCCCCTTTGGCTCATTATTAAACCTAGATTACAAAATGAAAAAATGGAGAATGAAAACCAAATAGATGTTTGTAGTAAATAATCAATCATGACAGAGTGAGGACAAATGAGAGATTAAGAAACAAAACGGAAAAGGATGAAATGTATTAGACCACGACAAAGCAGGTATAGATTAAGAGATAATAACCTACTCAATCTAATGATTGACATTTATAACTAGTTTCAGGAAGCACCAGGTTATCATCAGTGAATGATAAATTCACTTACCAAAATACCGCAATACCAGTTTATAAAAAAAAAAAAAAAAAAAAAAAAAACAACAACAAAACAACAACAACAACAACAACAATAGATTAGCAAAATTTCCCAATCTCTCAATACAAAATAGGCGATTCAGAACATAGTCTAATCCACACCTATTCGAGTTTCTTGGAATAGAAAAGCCTATCATTTCATCGGCTGGTTTCCAACCAGGTACTAGTGAGAACGATTTTGTAGTTGCAGAGGAAAGCACTTCTGGTGCTGATGGTGGTGGTTCGGCAATGAAGACAACATTGACGCCGTTGGATTAGGCAGCAACATCCTCACCGCACCACCACCGACGGCTGTGTCGGCGACTCCATCGTCATCGTCATCGTCATCGTCCTCCTCATCATTTACGCTCTCCTCTGAACTGTCCTCTCCACCATCTTCTCTATTACTCCCGTGAATCAACCTATCTTCTCTCCTCCTCTTGCTCTGACTCGACCGATCTCAGTCCCGATCTCTATCTTGATCCCGATGATCTCGATCCTTCTTCACTTAACTAGTCTATCTTCCTCTACAAAATTATCAGAATCAGAATCAAGAAAAACAAAATACCGTCAAGAAATTTCTGTAAGTTTTCTAAACAAAACTGTATATTAGATTGAATTCAATTGAACAAAGAATACATACATCATTTATATAGAGTACCACTAATTCCTAATCCTACATGAATACATTACTGAGATATATAGAAGTCTAATAGACATAGGACACTTATTCCTAATCCGAGGAGAACACATATTCCTAATCCTAGGAGAACACATATTCTCACACCCCCGCTCAAACTCAACGTGTTTTAGCAGAAAATATTGAGAGTTTGTCAAGAAAGAACCGAAATCGAGCAGTGGTGTGAGTCTTAGTGAAGAAGTCAGCAAGTTGCAGAGCCGAAGAGACAAAAGGAAGCGAGATAAAGCCAGAAGGCAGATACTGACGGACAAAGTGACAATCAATCTCAATATGCTTTGTCCGTTCATGGAAGACAGTGTTATGAGCAATTTGAATAGCACTTCGGTTGTCACAATAGAGAGAGGTCGGGGAAGATTGAGGGACGCCCAACTCAGATAAGAGATTACAAAGCTAGACAATTTCAGCAATAGCATGAGCCAGGGCACGATACTCAGCTTCGGCAGTAGAACGAGCAACAACAGTCTATTTCTTGCTTTTCCAAGAAATAAGGGAATCACCAAGAAACATACAGAAACCAGAAGTAGATTTACGATCATTAACATCACTAGCCCAATCAACATCAGCATAAGCCACTAAGTCTAAGGAAGAAGTAGAAGAGAACAGCAAGCCCTGAAAGATAGTACTGCGAAGATAGCAAAGAATCCGAAGCAAAGTAGCCCATGTGTAGAGCGATGGGTAGAAACAAACTGACTAATCACATGGACAGCATAGGCAAGATCAGGGCGAGTAACTGTCAGATAGACTAAACAACCCACAAGCTCGCGATATAACGTAGGATCATCTAGAGGAACCCCATCAGTAGTGTTGAGCTTTACATTAAGCTCAATGGGGGTATCAGACAGCTTAGTGTCAGTAAGTCTGGCATGATGGATAACCTCGTTAGCATACTTAGCCTGGGACAGAAAGTAATCCTTGGGAGAAGAAGCCACTTTAATATCAAAAAAATACCGCAATGGTCCCAAATCCTTCATTTCGAAGGTATGAAAGAGCTGTTACTTGACCTTAGAGATAGTAGAAGAGTCAGAGGCAGTGGTAGTGATGATCATATCATTCACATATAGTAAGAGAGCAACAAAACTAGCCGAGGTATGTCTGAAAAATAAAGCAGAGTCGGAAGCAGAAGGATGAAACTCAAGCTCGGTAATAGCAGTCTGAAAGCGATCATACCAAGCACAAGGAGATTGTTTCAGACCATACAGAGCACGTCGAAAACGACAAACCTGGCCAGATGAATGGTGAAAACCAGGGCGATCATACCAAGCACGAGGAGACTGCTTCAGACCATATAGAGCACGCCGATGACGACAGACTTGGCCAGAGGAATGGTGAAGACCAGGGGGAGGACGCATTTAAACCTCCTCAGTGAGATGGCCATTAAGAAAAGCATTCTTAACATCCATCTGATAAACAGGAGAAAATGTCTCCTCATAATCAATACCATACTCTTGGGAGAAACCTTTGGCCACCAGACCAGCTTTGTAGCGCTCAAGAGAACCATCAGAATGAGTCTTGACTTTGTAGACCCATTTGCAACCAACCACATTCTTACCAGTAGGTAAAGGAACCAACTCCCATGTACTAGTTTTCTGTAGAGCAAACAACTCATCCTCCATAGCTTGAACCCAATGAGAATCCTGACAGGCCTCCTTGTAAGACTGAGGTTTTGCAAAAGAGTGAATAGCAGACAAAAAGGTACGATAGGAAGCAGAAAAACAAGTATTAGACCAACCCAATCTTTTTGGAGGATGACGCGCTCGAGGAGGATATCGGTGTGCAGCAGGATCAGAGTTGTCAGAAGCAGGAGGATCAGCAGCAGGAGTAGAGACAACTGGTAGAGGAGGAGCCTTGCGACGAGAATAAACTAACAACGGAGGAGAAGGCGAAGAAGGAGAAGTAGTCAGAGGTGAAGCAGGAAGAGGAGGAAGCTGAAAGTAAGATAGACGTTCGAGAAAGGCAACATGGCGGGAGACATAAAGGCGACGAGAAACAGGGTCATAACAGCGATAACCTTTCTGAGTGAGACTATATCCCAAAAAAACACATAGGACAGACCAGGCACTAAGTTTAGTCCTATCTTTACGGAGTAAAAGGACAAAACACGCAGACCCAAATACACGAAGGAGGGAGTAATTAGGAGGTTGAGAAAAGAGAGCCTCATAAGGAGACCGACCCGAAAGAAGGGGGGTAGGCATACGATTGAGAAGAAAAGCAGCAGTAAGAACTGCCTCACCCCAAAACGGAGCTGGAACGGAGGCAGAGAGAAGAAGAGATCTAGCTGTCTCAAGAAGATGACGGTGTTTACGCTCAGCTCGGCCATTTTGGGCAGGTGTATCAGTACAAGAAGTTTGGTGAATGGTACCCAAGTTGGCCAAATATTCACAGAATTCAGTTTTAAAGTATTCCCCACCCAAGTCAGACCGCAACAATTTAATAGTAGATCCAAACTGTGTAGTGACCATAGACTGGAAAGTACGATATATTTGGTAGAAGTCAGACTTATGAGTCATAAGATAAACCCACGTGTAACGGGTGCAATCATCAACAAAAGACACATAGTATACTGAACCCCCTTTAGTAAGAACAGGAGAGGGTCCCCAGACATCAGTATGCACAAGAGAGAAAGGAGAAACAGAAATAGATGTACTTTTATTAAAAGGTAAAGCTGACATTTTGGCAAGTTTACACCCCCGACATTCATCAATTTGACTAGGAGAAACTTTACCCAACAATCTTGACTGAGCTAAAGACCGTAAGCAGTCAACAGACAAATGACCGAGACGAGAATGCCATAAGTGAAACTGACTCGACTGAGAATCTAATTGAAACGAGGAAAGTGCAGCTGAAGAGGTGGATAAGGGGAGATGCAAGCTTTCAACCACATAGAGATCTCCAATTCTACGGTCGGTCCCAATCTGCTTCTTGGACACTCGATCCTGCATACAACAGACAGAAGAGGAAAAGATAACATCAAAGCCAGACGCATCAAGTTGACTGATAGATAACAAAATGACAAATAACTGAGGAACATAAAAAACAGAAGGAATAGTAACAGCAGACATGGCAGAGGGTAAGACAGACCCAACAGATAAAACAGACATACCAG